TTTTTTTTTTTTTTTGATTTTTTTTTTTCGAGTTTCGGTAGAATTTTTCGTTGGTTGTCCTTAGAGGTTTTAAAGAATCTTGAAAATATTCTCTGAGATGCTTCCACTTTTTCTCACTAAATAGAAATGCCAATCTCTTCATTAAATATAAGGTGATATTTAGATTATTATCAAAAAAAGGGGGGCTTGGCATCGTCATTGTGTCAGACTATCAATGCAGCGGTAGCAAATTACTCTGCTCTAAAATGACATAAGAAGTCATAACCGAAACATACAGACCTGTATGGTAGTGTTCTTTCAATCTAAAAACGGGGACAACATCATCAGCTAAGCCAAACTCCTTGCCGATGTTAATTGTGTCCTCTGGATTAAAGTCAAATCTAGGCGAATTATTATGTTTCATGTTAAAATTCTCTAGCAAGCTCTTTGACAGCTTACTTTGACAATATCCCTGCTGCAATGAGAATAAATATAATTTCTAGCGATTACGAAGTTGCAATAGTGGGGATCGGAGCGTAATGATAACTAATTTTTCATTTTAATGTTTTTAATACCTCTGAAGAAGTTTAAAAGAGTTTCTTTGGAGGACAGCAAGTACATGTCAGTATTATTAGACCCTTAAAATATCAGAGGGTTTGAATGGTCCAGTGGTCGTTTTGTCCATTTTGCCATTCAGTGCGTCTATTATGCGAAAAGATGAGAAATTGGTTTCCTTAATTTTTCAAGGTAGAGAATTCGCAACTTTGCCTATTAAAGTTAAAGAGTGGAGGAGGTAAGATGGGTTTGTCGAAAAGGTTGCTGAATCTTCAGAGAAGTATTGCTGGTAAGCCCTTACTTTCAACTCTATAATATACTCTTGAGGATCATACATGGACATAGTCTCTCTGATCAAATCATAAACTGCTCTTGTTTACCTCTATCATGTAGATGCTATGTTTACTGTTGCAAAATTTGCAATATTCCTTACGTCACCATTTTTATTGCGTTTCTTAAAATAGGATATTACTGAATTCAAAAATTATGGCTTTGAAACTTTTGTACCGTTTGACAACAGTGTTCAAATATTAAACTCATTTCTTAATTCGTAAAACTATTCGCTAGATTAGTACCTAATGGTTTTGATATAATAGGTAGAAAAGGCATTTTTACCATTTTTGGCGGAGTTACGTCATTAACATGTTTAAAAATACATTTCAAGAACTCTCTCTACTCTTCTTCTTCTCTCTTTCTACTTCTTCTAACACGTTGAGTGGAATGACAATGTGAAGGACGAGTGTTTAAAATTGAAGACATCATTGAATTTTTAGAGTTAAAATGCAAGAGCGAAACCGTATACAGCTACAATTAAAACTTTTTTCAATCTAAAGTCTTAATCTTATATTTTGTCGCATTTTTCACCTTTTGCCTATTTTTTCAATTTTCTAATTTATTTATCATAATTTTTATTGGGCACATCTCGAGTAACGTGCAGTAGATTTTTAAAGTTTATTTTATCCAAGAGAAATTTTCCGAGAAAATTGCTTAAAGTTTGGACCTAAATATGTGGCTCTTATCGGGTAAAATTAAACGAGTATGTAAAAAAAAACTGAAGAATTTGTAAATTATGGAGAAAGAATACCTGATAAACTAAAAGGAGCGTGTGAACGAGACCCAAGGTGCTCCTCATCCTTCACTGAATTATCACAGCTCGATTACGATTATCAGCTCAAACCAATCTTCAACTTTCCATTAGATTTTGGATTCTGAGTGCTCCTAAGTAATCTGGCAACAAGTTTGCTCGCTCTTCGGTGCACACCTGAAAGTAAAAAAATCCATTATTTTCAACGAAATATTTTGTCTAAGACCATGTAAGAATGAGGAAGACAAGTTTTTCACGGACCTCTCGTCGTTTCTGACAATGTACGCAAAGGGGTATTATTAATACCATCTCGTGCGCGACAAAAGAAAACAAAAACAAAAACACAATGTTCTTGTTCTTGGAGCAGTTTGAAATGCGTATTGAGTACTTTACAATTTCAGAAACTGTTTAAAGTTACATTTTTTGTTATTTACTGATCGATGTTTTTGTTTTATTCAAATTTTACGTTGAACTAATAATTTTTAAAATTATGGATTGATCTAGAAATTTAAATTTTAATCAGTAAGTCTTAAAATGTACAGTTAAATTTACAATGCATCCTTTTATCAGACACTTTATTTAATAAAATTTAAGATTTTTCTGTGGTTATCCGATAGAACTTATGAGATATAACTTTCATCAGTTTTTATTATATAAAAATTAATATAAGGGTGGAAATTTAAGTAGGAGGATTCAGGAACTTTGCAACTGGGATCCGTCATTTTGAGGTTTAGCCATCAATTTGAAAATCTCTTACGAATACCTATCAGGAACCAGGTGCAGTTGTGGCAAGATGCACGAATTGTTTTGCGAGAGATATGGTGTTTTTAGAAATTACTGTGTGATAACGTAGATGGTTGCTGATCCCTGAAAAGTTTGAATAACTTACCAAATCAACAGATTTCTCTCGAAAACTCACGTGAAAAAAAAATTAAATTATATACCTACAGAATCTAAAAATATAGCATAAAAATATACAATCGTCAGTCTTTGCTCATGAAAATCAATGTAAAGTGTAAAATACCTTGGGAATAGGTAAGAGGTTAAAATGAAATTTGTAAAAATGTTTTGGTAAATCAAGCAAGCAATAAATGAGAGAATATTCAGGAAAGTTCAAAATATTAATGTCTTACCAAAGACGTTGAAAATATTCATTTCCTAAACCAATCGTATAGGGAAACTGGAAATGCATGTTTTCGCATCTGGAAAATAGTAGTTTTTTGTGTCTTTTTCTTCCACGTCACAAATGAATAGTGCTGGAGCTTACGTTTGTGTCTCTCTGTAACTTTGTATAAGATCCAAAGTCTGGCGAAGTGAAATTTCCCCTCCAATCACGCAGACGCATTTTATGAAAAAAAAATGGAAAATATGAAACGTGTCCCGAAAGATTTTCAATACAATTCTCTGTACAGTTTTTTCCTTCTATTTTCATGCCTGACGTCGGAACCCATTTGCTCATTTTTCACATTTTCCTCTTTCTTCCCTCCCCTCTTTTCTATGTACCATTAAAACGCACGTGTGAAATTGAGACACACTTTGACGACCACGGACACATACATACAGTATGGTTTCACTAATATGCACCTGGATGGTTGAAGTTTTTGGTGTTTGAATGCGTAAATAAATGAAGTAAATGAATAATAAATTATATTGATAAAAAATAAATAAAATGAAATTAAAAGGGGAAAATAGAATGAATAATATAGGAAAAACAGTCTTTTTAATAATTTAAGAAATTTTTGTCGCATGTCGCTGACGTTGTAAACTTTATTTCAAATTTCGTTTTTTTTTTTTTTTTTAATTTTGCCAGTTTAAGCATTTCTAAACTTCAGACTTAGGTCCTTGTCTACATAATGTCAATTCACGATAATAAACGTGTAAAAGGTCCTACAATTTTTTTTCTTCCTCTTCCTTTTAATGATGAGTTTAATGCTTGCAAATTTCCAATTTGGGTACTTTTCAAAACTTGATGACGGAAATAACGAGATGACCATAGTCAGTTTTTGAAATAGAATATTATCTAAAGAAATCTACACTGAATTTAGGAATTTATCAGGTATTACCAGAGATAAAAAATTCTCATTAGAGGAAAAGAAATAATTTATTTAGAATATTTTTTACATACATAAACCATCAGAGTGAAAACTGAAGTATGGCAGTACATATTCTCATCTCTCAATCAGACGCCTTATAAACCCTCCAACTGCAACTGTTTTTTCAAAGAATTGCGAGAGTTTCATTGCAAAGTTACCTTTATTTACCACCTAAGTCACCGGCTTAAGTGTGTCTGATCTGCTGCACACGGTTTTGTATAGCTTTCTCAGTTCAATGTGCGGACGTTTCCACCATAGATTCTCTCATCTGGACATAAAAATTCCCTAATTTAGTTACATCCTCATGATTAAGACGCCTAAGACACCGGCCAACCAAACCAACCCCCCCCCCCCCCCNNNGGTCATAGCTTGTGTTACTCTTGGAGCAAAATGGGTTTTCTGCAGCACAGGGACATATGCATATACTTCTATACTACTATATACTTCTGCATATATAGGGATAAATGACTAGAATTTTTACAAATTAAATCATTTAAAAATCACGATGAGCACGTCAAAAAACTATGATCCACTCCTCAATGTATAGTTTTTGTAATCCATTTCAATTTTCAAAGTTCCCGCGTCTCCGAGAACTTTCCCTTTGTCAAAGGCGCGTGAGTTTGCTTGGGAAGGGATGCGAGGGAACTTAATCTGAGTGTACAAATAAATCCTCTCAATTTTTCCTGATCTTTCACACGTACCTAAATGATTGCAGTCATTTAAAAGCATTTGATTTTGCTTTCTTTTTTCTGCGCTAGTCGAAAGCAGACGCTTTAAAGTAAGAAAAATCATAAATGAGAGAGTTAATACTTAACGTTTGCAAATTTTTGTGTGTTTTTCTTTGATCTATTTCTGAATAAACGTCCTCGTCAAGGGCGTAGAAAATAGTTCTAGAAAATTTGAAAACACTTAATACGAACTCCTCGCAAATTGTGTGCTAAGAGGTGAATATTATAGAGTTTTAAGATGTTCTAATTTTTATTTTTGCACCGATTTAACTCGAAAAACTCTATTCATTCATCTGTCCAAAAATATTTTAGAACAAATCCCTAAAGGAAAATGAATGGCACCGTTAGATTTCTTTTGATTCACTAGGCTCAAATTGCAGAAACAAGAAGTTTAAAAGAATCTCAAATGTTGCGATGAATGCTCCAATTTTCGATGAGGACCTTGATATTAACTCATCATCCGCAGTATTTTCTCGATGTCCGCCTTTAGCTCCCGGTCGCCAATTTATCGATTATTTTTTCAATCACTGAATTTTAATCGTCCGCGTTCCCGCAGAGTTGAATCGACCCACTGGAAACAGAAAAAGTAGAGTTTGAACAGGCAGGCGAATGAAAAAAAAAATCTGTTCTCACCATGTGGTACAAATAAACTGACTACAATGCGCAAAGAGAAATACATTTTTCTGACGTACATCTAGCGTGTGAACTTATCTGCATGCAGAGAGTGCATTAGAGTAGCACTTAAAGCACTTAGTGGTTGTTTCTGAAATAAGCAAAAAAATTGTTCTCTTGTGCATAATTCAGTCCAAGGAGTGATTCTACAGAGCGGACAATTAAGTAAAAATCCTTATGAATTCAAGAAACATGATATTCTAATGGTTATCCTGTCTAAATTTTACCTTCAATCATTAAAAAACAATCAACAATAACAATTTAAGACTGTTATGCACTGAAAACGAATTTTGACTTTTACCAGAAGGGTGGTAAATTCCACAGTGAATCGATTTGATTTTTTGCACAGTGCTACTTTAGAGTGAAGATAACCAAATATCTAGTAGCATTTACCATAAGTCTGATGGATGCGATTAAAGTTACCCATATAGTCAATTGAGGGGCTTGAAAGACAAGGCGCATTAGTGCAGTTTTCATTTTTTCGAAAATAACGAGTCAAAAGTTCTGGATTTTACTCGGATGTACACATGAGTTGGAAAAAAGTATCAGAATCTCATATACTCCCACACAGCTGGTTTTGGCGCCAGATATTAGACTAGTTGCACAAGCCAGAAATATCGTTAAGTCACCTGAAAATGTGGTTGGATCAACCATACCTCTAGCTGGTGCCCTCACAGTCAGCATAAGTGTGATGGATTAACTATACCACTGGCTAGTGTCTTTACACGTCTAGTAAGTGCAACTACTCTTATGTCTGGCGCCAAAATCAGCTGGAAGTATAGTTGATATTGTGATACTTTTCTTTTCAGTGATTGACAACCCATCTTAACTCAAAGCAGTGTTAAATATCTCTAAAATGTACCGTTAGGACTACGTGGAGCGTCTGCCATGACTTGCCCGAGGTTTGTCCCTTTTGAGATTGTGAAAGTCGGACCAGGAGAAAGACGGCCAACGTGTCCATCACTGTCAGAGGCCTCTGAAGAAGAAGAAGAGGACGAAAAGGAAGCGGGGCGCCTGTTCATAGTGCCCCTCCGTTGGCGCGATCCCTTCTTGGCCGAGCTCGGAGAACCCGGAGTGGAGCTCCGACTCGAATTCGAACGTCGGAGCTTCGCATTTCCACTCGGCTGCGACTTCGACACCGGTTCTTCCTTCTTCACCTTTTCGGACGACATCCTCCACCAGGGCTTCTTGGGAGCGTCGCCTTTGGAGGCGGACTTCTCGCGGTTAGGGACAAAGAGACGCGCGAGCGTTTTAAAAAATCTTCCCTTACCGCGAGGCTCACCGTCGCTGTCGACATCGCCCGCCGCAATCGACCTCTGGTATTCCATCTCTTCATGGTCGATGGCCGCCTGTGCCACACCGCTAAGAACTTCCTTGACGACCTTCCCTCTACTACTTCTGCTTTGTTTTTTTTTGCCGTGAGGGACGTTCGGAGGTACCCATCCATAGTACGGGTACCCGGCAGGTGGATATGGTGGTGGAGCCCCGTCCTTTGCTGGGGGTTGGTCGGAGTTTTTTCCCGCTGGCGGGGGGTAGTAGGGTGGTGGGGGATAGTGGGGTGGCTGGGGATAGTAGGGTGGCGGGGGATAGAAGGGTGGTGGGGTATAGTAGGGCGGTGGGGGGTACTGACGGTTGTTACCGGGATGTTCACCGTGTTCGTGATGCTCCTTGTGATTATGATTCA